AATGAATCACCTAATCAGATTGATGCTTTGGAGAGAATATGTGACAGGATGACATGTGAAGTATAAATGGAATGTATTCTCTCCATTTATCTCTCTCCTTGTGTTCTGGGCTGCTAACCTGCACCATGCCACTCCACCAACACACACACACACACACACACACACACACACACACACACACACACACGCTCCCCCAGATGCTTTGTCGGTAGAGTAGAAAGCACATTAATTATTGTGGAGACGGTCTGTTGCTGAGAGCGCCCCAAACTCTACATTACAAAATTCAAATACAAAGGTTCTGCACGTGAACTCAGAGACGAAATCAATGAAATTAAACAATTCACACAAATTGTGAATTGTTTTTCCCTTCTGTGCTGGGAGGGGAGAAGAAATGAACTGATCTGGAAGAAGATACACTCGAGAAAAGGAAGAGATGTTCCTGAATTGCCCACTGGGGTTGTGGGAGACATGGCTGCCCCGCTGAGAGATGAAGCTACATGAAACGGACCTGCATGAGCACCCGCCAGCCCGTTACTATCTGTCAGAGCCAGCAGGGTCCAAAAATCTAGAGGGCACATGGGGCCCTGCCTATCCTGCAAGGATAGACAAGAATGGCATTAGCAGTTCATGCTAGAATTAGGACCACTCCACATAGGACTAGCTGGAGAGTTCCCACTCCCTCACAGCATAGAGCCAATCACACATGGACCTCCATCCTCTTCTCCACTTCCCTTGGGCAGCCAGCCCCAGGAGACCAAGAGTAAGAGGCAAGAAGAGGGGAGGCAAGGTCTCAAATTGAATTAAGAACTGAAATACTTAGGTAATCTCAGTTTCAGACAAATCACTGGATTCACTTTAGAGCATTTAGAATAAATTGGCTGCCAAAAAGAAGGCTGGAGGTTCAAATTCAGACAGTAAATTACTCCAGGAAAAAAAAATGTTCCATTTTTGCATACCCGAGTGTTTCAGGACTCGTGTACTTATGTGGTGTCTTGCTTGTTACAATCACATGGCTACTGTGTGAGGAATGGTTTGAAAGAAAGAATGGATACAGGAAGATGGGGGGGGGGGATTACGTAAGGTGTGAGGGTGCAGAGGAAGGATACAAGTTACAGGATATGAGAAACAAAATCAAGAGTTCATGGGGTGCAATTGGATGTGAGAGATAGTGAAAAGAAATCAGTCAGGGACAGCATACACATTTCTGGCTGCCTCAATGAATCCATGGTAGTGCCTGCCACAGATTAGGGGGAATTCAGGAAGAGGTACAGGTTTAAAGAGAGTGAGTTCAGTTTTAGTTTAAGGTGGCAATGGAACATATAGGCAGAACTGATTAAAATATAGCTACCTGGATATGAAGGACATGTCAAATGCTGCATAAGGTCAAATAAAGAGAACTGAAAAGAGTCTCTTGAATTTAGCTCCACATTGATCACTGGTTAGCTTGGAGAAAGAAATCTGGGAGAGTGAATGGGGAGTGGGAACAGTAAATGGAGATAACTTTTCCAAGGAGTTTAGCTGGCCAGGGATGAAAGGGTTGTAGATGGAGGGGAATGTGGCTTTTTTAACCTGAGAAGGAAGGAGCCAGTTGAGAGGAAGAGGATGAATACATAGCTAAGAGTGAGAAAGAGTTACTGAGAGTGAGGTCATTGACAAGTCAGGAGGAGATGGGATTCAGAGCACAGGCCAAGAGATCTGCCTTAGATGGGGGAGGAGAACATCTTTTATAATAAGAGGCAAGGTGGGTAAAGATGCAAATTTATAGGTTGACATGGAAAACTGAGACTGCTCATGTCCCATAACTTCTATTTCTCCCCTTAATGAGTGGCAAATAAAACCACCTACAGAGAACGATAGAAAGAGCAAGCATGGAGGTTTGGAAAAAGAGAAGAATTCTTGAAATAGCCACTGGGGATTTGAAAGAAAGAGCAAGTATGCCAGGGCAATGTGGTAAGGCTGCAGACAGCATGGAACTCGTACTTGAGGTTGCTGAGCATGACTTTAGGGTAGCTCGATCTGTGTGGTTGTGTGTGTTTTTTTCAGCAGAGTCCAGTAGTCCAGGTAAATAAATGGCCAAGGCAGACAACTGATTTCAAGGTACATGTTCAAAGTTTGTCAGGTAGATGAAACAGAAGAATGAGGGAGCAATGGAGTTGAGGCCCTGGCCAAGTAGCTTAGTTGGTTAGAGCACTGCCCCAATATGCCAAGATTGCGGGTTCAACCTCCCCTTAGGGCACATACAAGAAGCAACCAATGAAGCATATATAAGTGGAATAATAAATTCTCTCTTTCTCCCTCCCTTCCTCTCTAAAATCAACAAATAAGACTTAAAAATAAATTGAGTTGAGGACACAGGTCAGAGGTAAATGTCATGAAGCATGAAATCCTTCCTGAGTAGAGAACAAAAAGGAGACAGCAAATGGATAATAGGTAAGGAGAAAGAAAAAAGAGTAGAAGTTTTAATAGATTTGGAAAGTCAACAAAGTAAGAAATAACCAAATGAGAGGTACTAGAGCAGTGGTTCCCAACCTTCTGGCCCTTTAAATACAGTTCCTCATGTTGTGACCCAACCATAAAATTATTTTCGTTGCTACTTCATAACTGTAATGTTGCTACTGTTATGAATCGTAATGTAAATATCTGATATGCAGGATGGTCTTAAGCGACCCCTGTGAAAGGGTCGTTTGACTGCCAGAGAGATCGCAACCCACAGGTTGAGAACTGCTGTACTAGAGGAACAGAAAGTCATGGGTTGAGAAGTGCTGTGGTTTCTTGATGACAAAGCCTGGGGGTGGCCATGGGGTTGGGTGATTGAAACAGAATGGAGGAGGTAATTAAAAATGGAATCAAGAAACTGAGAGGTCAAGCATGCCTCATAGATATACCAAATGTGGCAGGTTGTTGGCAGAATTTGGCATGAAAAAGAATATTATGGGTCCTTTGCCAATATCTTCAATAAATAATGGGTATGGCCAGGCAGTTCGTAGAAGACAGCTGGGTTCAAGGGTATGACATAATGGTTCATAGCCTGGGTATCAGAGGGCAGAACTAAGATCTATGGATGTGGCAGCGTGTGACAGAATCTGACCTAGTAGCCTCCACTTGGGAGGCCTGCTGAGGAAGCAGTGTATTTGTGGGGGAAAGCCAGGTTTCTTAGGGCTAGACAGCTAAAGAATGTTCAGTGAAAAGGCTAGGGTTAACCCGGACTTTGTTGATGATGGAATGGGATTCTTGAGATCACAGAGGAAAAGTTTAGCACAGCATGGAGTGGGAGGCTGAGTCAAGTATGAGGATAGAGGTCATAACAGGATAACTCATTGAAAGGGCTTCCCTTTTGGGCACATCAAGGACATCAAAGGCCTGAGGGGTGGTGGGTTTGACAGCTGCAAAGATGCAGGAGAATTGATGGGTCAGGCTTCTTAAGATTCAGCATTGTCCTGGTATGTCACACCTCCAAGACTCCTGGGTCCCAGGAAGGAATGAGCTGGGTCTTGATTCCAGGGAAAGGCTCAAAGCTAAGGGGTGGCTCCTGGCCTGTAGCTCTGGATGGTGTGGGATAGGATGGCCTCTGAGAGAAACACAGACGCAACATTCCAGCTTCCTTCACTGCTCACATTCTGCACTGTCTCAGTGCCTCTCTGCCTGTTCTTTTTAGGGTTTGGTTTTGGTTTTGTCTCAAAACTTAAAGCCCAGGGAAAAGCAGCCAGTAAGTAACCTTCGAGCACCGGGAGTTGTTCTGGGAAAGGCAGATAGCAAGTCATCACAGCATTAACCAATTTCAATACAAGGAATATAACACGGTACTTCTTCAAGGAAGATGTGGTGTTTAGAGTAATTTCCTGGAATGTTTACTTTACTTAAAGAAAAAAAAGGAGAGAGAATTTAAAAAGGACTCTGATAGAAATCAGACTTATGGTTGTCAGAAGAGAGGAGGTTGGGTGAAAAATTCAAAGGGATTAAATATAAATTGGTATTCCAAAATAGTCACAGGATGTGAAGTACAGCATAGGGAATACAGTCAATAATACTGTAATAACTATGTACTTGAAATATTAGGGGGACCACTTTGTAAAGTGATTGCCTAACCATTATGCTACATACATGAAACTAATACAAAATAATATTGAATGTAAACTGTAATTGCAAAATAAATAAATAAAATTAAAAAGACTTTGATACATTACCAAATTGAACTTTTCTTAAATATGAACCACAATCCACTTGGCCTTGGGTTGGTTTATTTATGTGCTATATTTATTTTCACTCCCCACGGTGAGTCTTTTTGTTTATTCAAAGGGCAAAGGTCACATTTTAGCTTCTGTCCAGGTCATTACACATGAACAATTTAGTGTTCTTTGGAGCACTCTAGAGCCCTTTAAATGCCATATGTTGGAAGGCACCAGCTTCCTATGTTCTCTCTGTCAGCGGATTTTGTTGTGAACATCTTGCTGGAAGACTCTATTTTATTGTTTAATGAAGAGATTCATGATACCAGAAAAAGTAAAGGTTTTAAAAAAAATCTTTAGTGGGGCTTTGCTGTAAACGATAAAGATCTTCTGAGTGTGTTCCACTCCTTTTCTCTTGAATTATTAACTCAGACATAAGTTACATGCTTTTAATGAAGTGTTACCTTCATGCTAACTTCCTAACCTTCAGTACAGCATCTGGTGACATGGTGATGACTTCACAGCAGGTTCAAAGCATTGGTTGACAAAATGGTCAGTAAATAGCATCATTATATATCTTAAATGAATCCAATACTTAGAGAAAACCAGGTGGCTTGGTGTTTGGCTGTATCAGATGCCCAGCATAATGATGCAAATAATCATATTATCTGGCACTCTGTATGACATAGGAATATTGATTGCATTATAAGATTCAGAAAACACATCTAGCATGAGTGGTCAGTTTCCTAATTCAAAGATATCAGCTTATCATTAATTCTTTCCATCTCCATATAAATGATTAAATCCATTTCAAAAAATTGTCAACCATCGTACCTTAGGTTCTGTTCATTTCTTCAAAAAGGAAGGGTGAATTGGGGGCAGGCTGTTGATAGGTGTTTGCTGCTGTAGAAGCCAGTCTGCTTTGAGGTGTTCTTGCATTTTTTCATCTGTGCTGCCATCTAGAGAGAAGAATTAGAAACACACAAAATAACCTGAAAATCCCAAAATGGGACTTGAAGGAAAATGGATACTGCATATTGATTTGTAGAAAACTGTAAGAAATATCAGAGATTTGATGGTGATAGTTTTGTCCCCCAACCCCTCTCTATCCCTCTCAGACACAAAACAGAATTTGGATGTCTGTTTATCGGTGTTTATGCCAACATTCCAGGCGTTGCCGGGGAGCCATTTCCTGGACTCAAATTGACCTCTTCTTACATAAGTAAAATGCAATTGTGTTAACATTCTGGGACCTCCGAAGTGGAGTCATTTTTCCATAGTTAAAAATTGCTGTAAATGCTCACATTCTGGTTTTCATTATTTGGAGATAAAATAACAGGGAAAAACGAGAGGGGTGGGGGGAGAGAGAGAGAGAGAGAGAAAGAGAAAGAGACAGAGAGAGAGAATGTGAATGTGTATGTGTGTGATTTAACAAGGTGTCCTTTGAACACAGTGGGACAGTTTCCTGAAGTCAGCGTGTTCCACAGCACCTACTAGCTCTGCAGGATGTTTACAGGTGAAACACTGGTCAAATAAATTTGGGGAATGTGAGGCAAAACCTTTTTAAACAGTTTTCTTTAGTATAGGCAAGACTTTCAATAGCTTTTAATTTACTAATGTACACTGTGAACTTGTAAGAAAGGTAAATGCTAGGCAAAGTTCCCTCAACCTGACCTTGAAACCCTAGAACTGATGTTCTGTGGAACAGACTTTAAAAAACAGTACAACAGCCTGGTTGGTGTGGCTCAGTGGTTGAGCATCGACCTATAAGCCAGGAGGTCACAGTTTCTGTACCAGTCCAAGGCGCATACCCAGGTTTTGGGCTTGATCCCCAGTAGGGGGCATGCAGGAGGCAACTGATCAATGATTTTCTCTCATCATTGATGTTTATACTTCTCTCTCCCTCTCCCTTCCTCTCTTTGAAATCAATAAAGACACTGAAAAAAAAATAGTACAACAGGGAAAGGAAGTTGGGCTGCTGCATGCACAGCATGTGCAAACATAGCAGTTCTCCCTCACATCTGCCCTATTCCTCATCTCTGTCTAAATATTTTTGAAGCTTTGCTTTGGTTTGAGTAAAGATTGGGCAATTTAACCACTTTTTTTTCCCCTAGCAAGAATGTTATAGGATTTGTTTGATAAGTATTACTTGAAGAAAAACAAAATAATTTTACCTATAATTTAGGGTAGATTTTCTCCCTCAGCTTACATGTCAAATATCAATAAGATGGTCTTTATACTGACACATTTAGTGTGCTTTAACTCTATACAAGGTACCACTGCATGGGAGGATAGGGAGAGCTGAGTAAAACGTGACTCTTGTCAAACCATTAAATAGGTGGAGGGATAAGTTTATATGCAATCCTATCTAATAAAAGACAAAAAGGGTAATTAACTGTACCTCCGCTACGCTTCCTATTGGCTAATCAGGGCTATATGCAAATTAACCGCCAACAATGATGGCGGTTAATTTGCATACTTAGGCACAATGATAGGAGGCGAAAGGGGAAGGACGGAGGAAGCCGCCTGCCGCTGATGGTGATCGGAAACCCAGGTGGCAGGCAAGAGCCAGGTGGCAGGGCAGAGGCGGAGAACCCGGGCCACCTTTGCCCTGCGGGAACTATGCAGCTGGGAGAGGGGCGTGGGGCTGCTGGGAGCTGGGCGGGAACTTCCCCGGGTTTGCATCAGGCAGCCGGGAGCGGGGCATAAACTATGCAGCCAGGAGAGGGGCACCTGGCCACTGGGGACAGGGCAGGAACTTCCCGGGGTGGGTGTCAGGCAGCTGGGAGTGGGGCCAGAACTTCCGCCCCATAGCTGCTTGCTCATTCACTTACTCATTATTCACTCACTCACTCAGCAAACCCTCTCAGGTCCCTGGCACCAGGCCAGGCACTGAAGTTGAAACAGGATAAGACAGAGCTATGTCCTCAAGATGTTAGTAATTCAGTAGGCGAAGCAGGCACATGAACGAGGCAGTTGTATGCACAGATGCACTGTACTGGGTTCGGTGAGGGCTGTAACGCTGACTTTGTTCTCTTGATAAAATGGGGCCTCGGGAGCCAAGCCGCCCCAAGCCTGTAGGCCTGTGCCTAGGCCAGGAGTGGCTGGGGTCCAGGAACATGACAGAGGGTGCAGGTCGGGCTGAGGGGTCTGGCCCCACCCCTAACTCCCCACCCCCGAGTGCACAAATTTTTGTGCACTAGGCTACTAGTCCTATCTAATAATAGAGAAACCTGGTAATTAGCCGTACCTCTGCTACCCTTCCCATTGGCTAATCAGGGCGATATGCAAATTAACTGCCAACCAAGATGGCAGTTAACCGCCACCAAAGATGGCGGTTAATTTGCATACATAGGCGCAATGCTGGGAGGCAAACGGGGAAGGACAGAAGAAGTTGCCTGCTGCTGACTGTGATTGAAAACCCAGGTGGCAGGCAAGAACGGAGAAGCGGGGGCCTTTGCCCGGCCCCCCAGGCATGATCAGAGAAGCGGGAGCCTTTGCCCCGCCTCAGGCATGATCGGAGAAGCGGGGGCCTTGGCCCGGCCCCCCAGCCAGTGATCGGAGAAGCAGGGGCCTGTGCCTGGCTCCCCAGCCAGTGATTGGAGAAGCGGGGGCCTTTGCCTGGCCCTCCAGGTGTGATCAAAGAAGCGGGGGCCTTGGCCCAGCCCTGCAGGCGTGATCGGAGAAGCAGGGGCCTTTGCCCGCCCCCCCAGGCATGATCGGAGAAGTGGGGCATTTGCCCAGCCCCCCAGGTGTGATCGGAGAAGCTGGGGCCTTGGCCCGGCCCCCCAGCCAGTGATCGTAGAAGCGGGGGCCTTTGCCCGGCCCCCCAGCCGTGATCAGAGAAGCCGGGCAGGGCAGGGAAGAGGCGGCACTGACACCTAAGTAGATCGCAAGCACCTTTCAAACTGTGGGGGTAAAAACCCATGAGACCAGGTCCTGACCGCCCACGTAGATTGAAGTGCAAACCCCCTGTTACCGGGTCCTGGCTGCCATGTAGAATGCCAGCACCTTTCAAACTGCAAACCCCATGAGACCGGGTCCTGGCCGCCACGTAGATTGCAAGCACCTTTCAAACTGCAACCCCAGGAGAACAGGTCCTGACTGCCAGGTAGATTGCGAGCACCTTTCAAATGCAAACCCCATGAGACTGGGTCCTGACTGCCACGTAGATCGCGAGCACCTTGCAAACTGCACGGGTAAAACCCCATGAGAATGGGTCCTGACCAACAGGTAGATGAGAGCACCTTTCAAATGCAAACCCCATGAGACCGGGTCCTGACTGCCATGTAGATCTCGAGCATCTTTCAAACTGTAAAGCCCATGAGACCGGGTCCTGGCCGCCACGTAGATCGCAAGCACCTTTCAAACTGCAAACCCCATGAGAACAGGTCCTGACCACCAGGTAGATCGCGATCACCTTTCAAATGCAAACCCCATGAGACTGGGTCCTGACTGCCACATAGATCACGAGCACCTTTCAAACTGGAAACCTCATGAGACTGGGTCCTGGCTACCATGGAGATCGCAAGCACCTTGCAAACTGCACAGGTAAAACCCCATGAGAATGGGTCCTGACTGCCAGGTAGATCCCAAGCACCTTTCAAATGCAAACCCCATGAGACCGGGTCCTGGCCACTACGTAGATCTCGAGCACCTTGCATACTGCGCGGCTAAAACCCCATGAGACCAAGTCCTGACCACCCACATAGATTGAACTGCAAACCCCCTGAGACCGGGTCCTAGCCACTACGTAGATCGTGAGCACCTTTCAAACTGCAAACCCCATGAGATCGGGTTCTGGCCGCCATGTAGATCTCGAACACCTTTCAAACTACATGGGTAAAACCCATGAGACTGGGTCCTGGCATCTATGTGTGCTGCCACATAAATCTTGGAGGGGCAGCAGCCGCCTCTTGCCTGCCTCCTCCCTCCTGTCCCCCGCCGGTGATCAGAGAAGTACCTGTATTTTTTTTTTTTCAAAGTACCTGTATTTTTAATAATTTCTTGACAATGTAAAAGAATTTTACATTATGATCCAAGGGTGGTGGGGTGAGGAGAAGGAGCAGCAGAAAAATCCAACAAACAAAAAGGGAAACAGAAATGCATGGTGGAAGGGATTTGAAGGGCAGGTAGAGGCATTGCCCAACTAAAATACAATTGGTTTGTTACTGAGTACTATTCATGGGAAGACAGCATCCTGACTCCTTCTCTATACAGCACATTGGGAGTAAAAATGATGCATCCAGGTGGAAATATGATTAGGGGTTGGAAGACAGGGAAAGAAGAAGTCAGAAATAGACACTGAGAGAGTTACTGGCTTGCTGGCTGCAAATACTGAGTCTCCAATAGTGAAAGAATAAAAAAGTGGGGGATATCTCTGGAAGATTCAAGAGATAGGGGGCAACTCTTCTATGGTTTTGACTTGCCCAGCAGATTTCCACATACACACGTGTACACACCTGTGTTTGCATGCACACACATATACACATAACTGACTGCCCTCCCTGGAAGCACAGAAGAAGAAGAAGCTGCCAGAAGAAGAAGCCGCCCACCTTTGGTCCTGGCGCCAGCACCTGCGGCTGGCTGCAGCCCAGGAGACAGACAAGCCACCCGCCTGAGGTCCCAGGCTGCAGCCACCCGGAGAAGCTGCCAGCCCTGTGGTCCAGAGTGTCAGCACCTGTGGCCAGGGAAATAGGTTCCCTCTTCTCCGACTGCAGTCATTACTTCAATATTCCCCTTCTGAATTTCTCTCCTGTGCTGCAACCCAACTCCACTTTTCATCAGAAGGATACGGAACAGAGAGAGCAGTGTTAAAAGCTTACATTTTTAAGCCGGTAAGGTTGGTACTTAAACATATAAATGGAAAACTAGAGTCCTCCTTAAGGTCACAAAGGCTACAAAGGACAGGGACAGTGCATGACCTAGTATATCCAATAATCCATATGGGGACTGAAAA